TAGCCCTCTGGTACCGGCTCGCGACAAGCCCCTATCATGTCTCTGCCACATTTTCCAGCTCTTGCATTAATCTCCCGTGTCAGTGTGTGAATCTCTGGATCCCTGCAAGGATGCAGCCAGAACTTCACTATAAACCACACTGGTTGCTGCACTGAAGGGTATATTTTATCCACAAAAAACAAGGTCAGTTTAGACAGCTGAGAACACAAATCTCATATAACTAAGACCGCCTAGAGGCTTTGATGGGAAGTCATCATGGCTGAAGGGGACAGGTTCAGTGCTGTGAAACCCGGGATTTCCTTCTTTTTGGTCTCTAGTGGTTGGATTTGGTATTATAGGTTTGGGATCTGTTACTTCTGTGCTAGGAAAATTCATCCTGTATGTAGGTGGGCAGAGAATTTAATGCATTTCTATTTGGGTCCCAGGGTCTGTCTTCACATCCATTCCTGTCTTGGATTCACCTTTGCTGCCTCTCCCTGCCTACACTCTCTTTTTTCAGGCCATGGTGAGGAACCAGGAAACTTGGTATGACTTAGCTGAGCGTAGGCTGGGCCTGGAGTGTGAAGCACAGATGTAACAAGGAGCACTTTTGTCTCATGTCCCGTATTCATGTGGCAAAATGTGAATGAGCTAACCTTGTGGGGCAGGCCTTGAATTAGGGCAGGTCTCTCCTTCTCTTTCTCTCTCTCTCCTTCTTTCTGTCTCTTTCTCTCTTTCCATGCTGTTATTTAATCATAGAATCATTTGGGTTGGAAAAGACCTTTTAGATCATCAGGTCCAGCTGTTGCCCCAGCCCTGCCAAGGCCATCACTAACCCATGTCCCTCAGCACATCTACACAGCTTTTCAGTACCTCTGGGGGTGGTGACTGCACCTCTGCCCTGAGCAGCCTGGGCCAGGGCCTGACAACCCTTTCCATGAAGAAAGTTCCATGTTCCAAATATCCAGCAGCTGGTTACTGCTCTCTGTGCGTCATTCTGTACTAGTTTCACCAGGCACACTGGTGCTGTCCCTTTCTTCCCAACTGTCCACTTCTGCAGAACGCTCCTCATGATGTCTTTGCTAATCCCTGACTGGTCAACCTTTATGCTCATGTCCTTTTTGGACCTTTCTGGCATATGCTCCACCTTCTCCATCTGTGGCTCTCCTTGGGCAGTCCTAGCCATGTGTTCCACTACTGTCTTCAGGCTGAAGAGTCACAAATCTTTTCCCTACTCCTAGTCTCACCCTACAGCTGTGTTCCAAATGTCTCTACTTCCAACACTGTCTATAATGGGTACACATTTAAAAAGGGAGATACTCCATTTTTTCTCTCCTGTGCTGCATCCCATGCTGTCTGTCAGATCCACCTTCTCCCCTGGCTATGTCTTTCATGAAAAATCTACCATCTTCTCTCCATCCACTGCTTTACAACCCTTAATCATCACATATCTCACCTGCTACAGCTTCCTCCTTAAAGATCCTCCATGTCTCCAGTGGGCTTTCACTTCCTTCCTAGTTCTGTTCTGCTTTTTTCCTCATCCCCCCTTGTCCTGCTCACTTCCTGCCATCTTTCCAAACAGCTTTCCCCTGTCTTCTGGTCTGGTGATGGCTTCCTTTTCTTTTGTGCCTGCTGACAACCTCATTTCTTTCCTGCCCCATTGGAAACTTGAAGAACATTTGCTGAGGAAACCTATTCAGGGTTTAGGATGGCACAGGAGCTGTGGGAGGAGTTAAAGGGAGAGCAGAGCTGGCTTCTCTGCCAGCTGGCTGGGGGCCAGACCTGGGGGTGAGACACTGTGGGAGCTACCTGGTTGCTTGGTGTCAGTTTTCAGAGTTGGTCAGGCAGAAGGAGCCTGTGCAGTCCGACCTCCATGCATGATCTCCAAACCTGGGCTTTGTGATACGGTGATTGGGTTTTCTCTCCCTCTCCAATACTGTTTGCAACCTGTGGTCAGACAACACATAAACTGTATTGTCTGGCATCTTCTGCTTTGTGTTTGTGGTTGCAGCATGTGCTCCTTAAGACAGGGACCTTGTATCCAGCAGTTTTCTGTGAACTGCAGCCTGTTCTACTGTGTCTTGCAGCACAGGTAGTATCTATTCCTGCAGCAGTGGTGTCCAGCTCAGCATGGTGGGTGGCACTAGGATGGTGACTTGAGAGCCCTTGGCCACCATTACTGGCAGGAAGCCCTTCTGATTTCTGTGCTGCTTCCCCATCACTTTAGCTCTTCCTTCTGCTTCTTGCAGAGAGAGCAGTAAGCTGCTGCTTGTTGAATCTCATATCCCTGGTGACATGGTGGTGTTGACTAACAGCCCTTCATCTCATAACCTTGGGTCAGAAGTCTCTGGTTTTAGAGAGCACAGAATATATCGTGATACATGTTTTCTGAGGGAGCTTAAATCATGCCATGTTCACTCACCTGTAGTCATTTTCCCCTCTAGGACATGCCTCTGAGCAAAGAGCTTGCAGAGCTGTGGGATGCTGTGAAAACACTTTTTCCAAATCTCAGATATCGTGGGAACAGAAAGTTGCAGAGGAAATGTCAGTCAAAGGTTCAGCTTTGGACTCAGCCCGAAGTGGTGGGTGGTTCCCAGAACAGGGTGGCTCAACAAAGGTGCTCTGGGGCTGCTTTTCTGCACCTTGGCCTAAAACCCCAGTACCACTCACCAAGCTAGAGACATGAAGATGCACCAGGACAGTCCTGAAGGTAGAATCTGTGGAAATGTTCGTTACTTCATCTCTGCTGATGCTTGGAAATGTTTCCATGTTTTTGCTTTATTATTTCTTCTACAACCAGCTCTGAGTCTGCTCCAGCGCATGAAAGAGCATCCCCATGGCTGAGGGTCCAGAGGCTCCTTTTTAACCATCATTTTGTATGTAGGGACATTTGTCTGGTGGAACACCATGTGCTGCTTAAATCCACCTTCTTCTATTATGTCAGAAGCAAAGTCCTATCCAGAGCTGTGCTGTGTGCAAACACTTTCTGCCCTGGGTTAGTCTTGCTGCTGCACAGTAGCATTGCCTTTGCTCCACTGCTGCTCCATTTCCAGCTGCTTCCCACCACCATTCCTCAGCCTTAGCGGAGCACATACTCTCCAGAGTCGAGTCCCTGTTGTGGCCCATGGCTGATGCTGTTCTTTCTTGGGTGCATGCTCTTGCTTTGGTCGGTGTTACATAGGATGCTACAGGCTGCCTGGAAGGAGGACAGAATCTCAGTGGTACTTCAGCAATGACAACAGCACATGGGCTGGAACTTTCCCCTCCTGGGAATGTTTTCTGTGGTCCCAGTGTAATCCACTGGATCCTCACTACACTCTCTGGGACACCTGGGCACTGTGATTCAGGGAAGGGGGAACTGTGAGCTCTTTAGGAGCAGGGGCAGGAATTCTGTGCTCTGAGCAGCCTGGCTTAACTCTCTCTCCTGGTCTCTGAAGCAGTGGATTCCTGCAGCAGTTTCTTGCAGTTCTGGAGGGGGGCAGAGGGTGCTTAACGGGAGCAGCTTTGGTGTCTGGCTTGGGCAGGGGGTGCCAGCAGCCCTGCCCTGCAGTCAGAGGCAGCAAACCCTAGCACTGTGGCAACCTGCAGTGTGGCAGACAGCCTTCCTGAAGTGCCTGCAACAGCCTTGGCTGTGCCCAAAGCTCACTTCAGCCAGCCTCCTGCATCCTCAGGCTGCCCTTGAGCTTTTGATTTCCTCTTTCAGGGGCACACACACTGAGAAAATCTGGGGCCATCCAGGCAGTGCTCTCCAGTGGTGACACCTCTCTGAGAGCAGCTTGGGAAAGCAGGGGCCAAAATTCAAGACAGCTGCCAGTCTCCTTCCAGAGTAGCTGGATGGTGCCCTGTGTTTTGCCTTAAGCTTTTCTTTTTCCCTGGAACAGAAGCATCATAATCCCCTTACCCACTTTTGTTTTTCATTGTTTAATGAAACATGTCCCGACCAGTGGCACTGCACATCATAGAAGTTGAGATTTAGCCTGGTTTTTGAAAGTAAACCTATGCAGTTATGATTTACCTGATGGAGTCTGTCCTATAAATGTGCAGTTTATTTTCCAGTTATGTATCTAATAAATAATGTCTGTGCCTTGGACTCACACCTCTCTGTTCACACCAGTGAAGGTCTCTTCCATGTTGTAAGGTCTCTATATCTGGGTTGTTTCTAGACATCTCAGAACCATCCTGACACCACTTCAGTCTCTAGATGAAAAACGACCAGGTTGAACACAGAAGCTGTTGTGGGCCTTGATTTAAATCAGTACTTATATTTAAAATTACTCATATTACTCATAAGTACTTATATTTAAAAGTATTTAGTCAACATTTCTGTTATGTCCTTTGCCACTAACCCCTCCCATGCTCTCCAAAGATGAGATGCAAATTAAAATAATATTAAAAAATAAGTTGGATAAGGAATTCTTACACACCAAGTCTGTCCTTATTCACAAGCTGGTTTCACTAGAGAAAACCCACTTTGACACATATTGATTAGTTTATTCCCTGGAGTCAAGCTGAGTGTTTTTAAGCTCAATAAATCCATCAGTGCATCATTTGGGAACCTAAAGACACCAGATGAAGCACCAGCAGAGTAATGGATCTGGGATACATATGTTAAACCTTCAGTTGTCCAGGGGGTGTGATGAGAGTAGGAGGTGGCTGTGGAGGAATGGCCTGCTCCGTGTGCATGCAGGGTTTGTGTTCCCAGGGGGCTGCAAGGAGAAGGGGGAAGTAGAAGAAGGCCTGAAGAAGGCTTGGTGTGAGAAGTTGTAGGGATTTTCTGCAAAGGGTGCTGAGGAATTAACATGTGGAGGGGTACAGTGAGAGCTGTATTTATGTTTTACTGAAAGACCAGTTGTTCCCAATTTACCTGGCAATCGTCCCCTGCTGGTATTGCTGTTCCTCTTTCCTCCAAATTCAGTTGTGTTCTCTTTCAGGTTGGGAACTAATCTTGCGATAACTCACCAAAATATTTGTTGAGTCCCTGTGCACGATGTGATTTCCAGCACTGAGACATTCTTGTGTGTCTGAGGGATACTTCAATATTGTTCCTCTGATTTCTTCACAAACCTGCCAGGTAACAATTGGATGAATTGTGGAAGGTACAATGGCACCGCTGCCTCTTTCCAACCTCTTGTCTCCATGAAAGCACAGAGGTCACACAAATCCATATTAATTTCCGCTAATGATATTTTTTTTTCTTAATTCTTGAGCAGCTCTCAGTTTGATCAGTGCCCTTTTGAGGCCTTGACTTTCCCCACACCCCTTCACCTTTTTGATGGATCAGCCAGTTTGTTTTCCTGCAGAGCTCTGGGACTTTTCCAGCTGCCTGATTGTTTCTGCAACATGAGCACTGCTGTTCCTGGGAAGCTCACTGCCCAGTTCAACATGAAAACACTTACACTGGAAGTTCTATGGAGTCAGGTAATTGTTTTGGTTGGAAAAGGCCTTTCAGATCATCCAAGTGCAACCGTTAACCCAGCACTGCCAAGGCCACCACTAAACAATGTGACTTCACCACTGGCCTGGGCAGCCTGGGCCAGGGCCTGACAAACCCTTTTGGGGAAGAAACTGTTCCCAATATCTAATCTAAACTTCCCCTGGCACAACTTGAGGCCATTTCCTCTTGTCCTGTCACTTGTTCCTTGGGAGAAGAGACCAACCCCTCTGGCTCCAACCTCCTCTCAGGCGGCTGCAGAGCCAGCAGGTCTCCCCTCAGCCTCCAGGCCGGACACCCCCAGCTCCCTCAGCAGCTCAATGTCAGACTCAAGCTCCAGCCCCTTCCCCAGCTCCGTTGCCCTTCTCTGGACGCGCTCCAGTCCCTCAATGTCCTTCTTGTCATGAGGAGCCCAGAACTGTCCCCAGGATTTCCTGACCCCAGCCAGGATGCTGGTGGCTTTCTTGGCCACCTGGGCACACAGTGATTCATATTCAGCCGCTGTCAACACCCTAATGCACTTTTCTGCAGGACACTTTCCAGCCACAATTCCCCAAGCCTGCAGCCTTGCCTGGGGTTGTTGTGGCCCAAGTGATCAAGACCCAGCATTTGGTCTCACTGAACCTCATACAGTTGGCCTTAGCCAACCCATCCAGCCTGTCCAGATCCTTCTGTAGAGCCTTCCTACCCTTAGGCAGATCAACACTCCCACCCAAAAGGTAATAAAAAAAGGTGACATGGGTGATGAAAAAAGGTTTAGTTCTAGTAGCTACTAAGAAGCATGATTTGGAGGCAGGGCAGGGGACAGAGTGGGCTTCAACATGTCTTGGATCTTCTCTACTGGTGCATAAGTTTTCTCGTGAACAGTCATCTGCTTTACAACATTGAGTGTGCTGCTGTGCATGAAGGTGCCTCGGCTCTTGTCCCAGTGGGGATCAGGGTCCGTAGTATTTGGTGCTGCCCTAAAGTGATTCCAGTCTGGTGAGGGAAGCCTGGGGAGGTGGGATCAGGAGAAACTAGCTATTCTTGCTCCAGAGGAGGAGCAGCTCACTGAAGCATGTCCCTGACACCACCTGACTGACATTTCATAACCTTCCCAGCAAAGCTGTCAAAGTGTTCCTGGTCTCCTGCCTAAATCCCTCTTGTGACAGTTTCAGTCCATTGCTTCTTGCCTTGTCTCCTGTGCCCATGGTGAAGATTTGTTCTTACTTTTGTGCCTGCACAGTTGGAGACTGGGGTGCCTGCTGCTGGAGACCAGGCTCTGCTGCTGGTGTGGAACCACATTGTTTCTGCACACAACCCGTTAAAAAATGTCTGCACGGTGTGGTGAGAAAGGAAGAGCTGTGGCCCCAAGCAGCCCAGTCACAGGGAATGCTGAAATTCTTTGGTAACAGGAGCACAAGCTCCTGTAATGCTTTGGGTACCCCCGTGCTCAGCACCCCGGCTGTGGGCCTGACCACTGGCACGTCGTAGAGAGACGAGGGGATGAGAGGCTCGAGGGTATGTGCCATTTTTTCATGTCCTGCCGGTGGAAAGAGCAGCCGCTGCCGCGGGCAGCCTGTGCTGGAGCGTGATGCTTCCCTGAGCCCCTGGCTGTGGCTGCAGGAGGAGGGGAGGATGGCAGGGGATAATGAGAAGATTACTTAACAGCCAGCCTTAAATGAGCCCTGCAGTCTGTGCTGCTGTCAGAGCTGAGGCGGCGGGACAGGAGGGATAATTTAGAAACACAAGGCTGGGAAAAGATTTAATTAGGCCACTGAGCTGCTCTCCTGGGTGCCAGTCCACCGACCTCTCCCAGTGCTCAGATCTACCCTTTCTCTCCCTTGAGCATGGACAGAGCTCAGGTCTGCAGTTGGGTCAGCACCTGCTTAGTTCAGCAGAGCCTCTGAAGTTAAACTGGCCCTGAAGCAGTGTTGGGGTGCACCCACGACTCCCACCTCGAGTGCTCTGATGTGCCGAAGCCTGGCGATCCCGCAGGAGCTCCCACCACTAGCACCCCAGGGCTGCCTGTGCAGCAGCAGCTAGCTGGCTCCTTGGAGACTCCAAGGTCTCCCTCAGCTCTGTCTCCTTTGGTCATCCATAGAGCTGGGCTGGGCATACCCTGCTCCTGAGCTGCATCTCGGGACTAGGGCAGGAGGGACACAGGCCGAATCACAGTCTCTGCCATTTAAACGATGCTGGCTGGCATCCCCTGAGTGGCATCTCCAGCACCCATTTTCTCCCCAGCACAAAAGCCATGTAATTCCCCCTGTGGATTTTCATTTCTCCTTGTCCCCTTGTACCCCCTTTGTGGGAACTCTCCTCCCAGGACACAGCAAACCACTACTGTCCTGGTTGTTCCCAATCCTCCCAGACCAGCCGTGATGCTGCCAAGCCTCGGCTGCCCCTGCCTGCCCACTCCCACACCATCAGAGGGGGATTATCCTCCTGGGATCACAGTAACCTTCTTATCCCACGAGTGCTGGAGCTGCTCCTGCCTCGCGGCCCCTAAAGCCCTTGCAGGTCTCTGCAGCCCCAGCACCGCTGACCTACATACATCCCTGGTGTATTTTAATTAGATTGCTTTCCATGCAGTCCAACTCAGCTGATTAGGCCATTTCCATGAGACCCAGAAAATATTCTTTTTATTTATTTATTTTTAAAATCATTTGGAGCAGGATGCTCCTATGGCAGATGGGTGGGACAGCAGCTGCAGCAAAGCAACAAGCAGCTGCCTCTGCCTGCTCTGTGGAGGAAGTTTTGTGAGCTACACAGGGGAGGTGGTTGTTTTTAAATCTGGCTGGCTCACACGCAGGGGGGCACAGCTGGGGAATGGGTGTTTTTTTCCTTCTGCAGTTGCAGGCTGCCATCTCAAAGCACTGCTGAGAGTGTTCAGATTGGTAGTTTTTTTTTTTTCGTGACAACATAATTTTCAGGAACAAATGTAGGAGGACTTTCTTAGTGGTAATGGCTGCTGACAACCCACTATTTCTTTCTGTGCCTTAACGAGTAGACAATTTCAAATCAATTAATTAATGTTCTACGCTTGTGCAGGGGATGTTACTGCAATAGGATGGTGTATGGAATAGATGAGAAGACCAGTATCGTCCATTTAAAAAAAATCGTATTTTTAAAAAACCCACAGATGTGCTTGAGAGGGCAGGCTCACCTCCCAGGCTGCCATTAATCATGTTTTAATCCTTTAATTCCCTGCCAGCCATGTCCCCATCACCCCTTGCCTCCCCCAGCCATGCTGGGGTACCCTGTATCCATACTGGCTTTTCATGGTGCAGCCTGGCAGTAATTTCTCTCCATTTTTACAAATTAATGCTTTAAAATAGATTCAATATCAATGGTTAGGAGGCTCACTTGACAACTCTTAGGTCTCTGCCAATTTGAAAGGCTGATCCAGAGCCCATGGGGGGAGAGCCTGGCCCCAGTGGCAGCTGAGAGTATTTTGTGATGTGACTTCCACTGACTTCCCTCCAAAAGAAAACAGAAAAGCAGTGGAACTTCAGCCTGCCCTGCTCTGTTTGGACTTGTACTGTTCCTCCCATTCCTGTGCTGGGCTCCCTTGCTCCTGATGCAGCACTTACGGTCCTTTTTATTTGCCTTTATCCTGCTGACAGTGGGTTTATAGCAGAGATTAAAAGCCAACATTTGATAAGGAGAGTTAAGGCTGTCTCCCTCCTGTTGAATACTTCATTTTTAAAATTAGGAATAACTTTGTTATCATAGGAATGGAAGTTCCTTCATGAAGAACAGGGAGGATGGGTGTATCTATGGGTTATCTCAAGTGACTCACACTTTAATTCCTATTATTTGCACTGGTTCCTAAGTTCTCTCACCCATCCAGTTCGTAACCCTTGGCAGCTGGAGCGAACCATCCCAGCATTGCTCAGTGTCACCCTTGCTGTTGTTAAAAGTAGTTGAGGCTGGGTTGGGTGAATATCATTACATTTATGCACCTCTAGAGCCCAAGTTCCAGCTGCCTTTGCACGCCTGTCCTGGCCCCTTGGGGGTCCCAGTTTCTGTGGGTCTGGCTGGAACTTGTCCTTGAGAAAGAGCTGCTGGTGCCAAAGGAACCAAGCTGCTCCAGGTGGTGCCAGATGGATGTGGCCAGGCATCTCACATGTGCCAGCCCAAGTCTGGAAGCATGTGCCAGTGTCTGGGAATCCAGGCTCCATCCAGTGTGCCCAGCTCCTGCCTGCAATGCCAGAGAGCAGCCATGGGGACAGCCCCCAGCCCGGGAGGAATGTGGGGGTGGAACCACTCTCCCTGTCCCCAGGCTTTCAGGGCTGGGAGAGCACCTTCCCCTTGTGACTCTTGGCGGGGGGGGACCGACACACAGCACAAACAACCAGAGCCATCACAGAATCAGTATTTATGTGGGTGACCAAGTCAGCCTGATGCTCACAAGCCACTAGACAGAGGTGCCAAGCAGGGCCACAGAAGGGTGGAGAGCCACTCCAGCAGGGACAGCAGTGCAGGGGCAAGGTGGGACACAGAGCAATGCTGGCAGACAGAGGGGCTCACTAGGGAGCAGCACATTGTACAGAAACCCCTTATGGAGCCCCCCAGATTTTCCAGGGACTGGCCAGCAATGGGACTAGCTTGCCCACAGTCCCTGGCTCCTGGCAGGATGCAGGTGATGTTGCATGTCCAGCATAACTGCAGGGAGCAGGGTGTCCACACTGCAAGGCCTAGCAGCTCCCCAGACTTGTTTTCCTCCATGTATTTGTTCCAAAACATGCTAAAACTGCCCTGCCCATCCACTTCAGGCTACCCATAGGCACTACTGGAGACACCCCCAGGACACAACAGGGTGAGCCCCAGAGCATGGGGATGCTACCCAGGGAGGGGGAAACACTCAAAAGCCCCCACAGAGCCTGTCCCAAGCCTGGGGAGGGGCACTGCAGGGGGCTGAGCTCCCCATGCCAGGGAAGATGGCAGCACAGGGAAGTGGGTGCCAGCTCCAGACAGTGCAGCTCAGGGACACTGCTGGGGACCTCTGAGGACAGAGCAATAAATCCGGGGTCCTGAGTGCCCACATCCAGCAAGGGGCTGGGTCAAGAGCCTGGCCCTGGCAGGACCATGGCAGGACCTTCCAGCCAGGCACATCAACCCTGAGACCGCCAGTGCTGGAGGCAGGGAAGTTGGCCTGCCAACCCGCACTGGCTCTCCAGAGGTCCTTGCCCAGTCACTCGCTCTGGCCACGTCTTTTCTCCATCTCATGTCCCCGCTCTTTGGCCCTCCTCAGCCCCAGTCTTTTAGGAGAGTGGGAATGGGGATGACTGGGATGCTGATGGGGAAGCACCTTTGGCCCTGGCTCCTTCTGCAGGCAGCTCAGCAGGAGACTGGGCAGGGATGCAGCCAGGGCAAGACCTGGGACAGGCAGTGCTGGGCTGTCTTCCCTGTTCCTGGGGGTCCTGGAGACCCTCTGCACCCCTCTACACCCCTCCCCACCTCTTCACACCCCTCCACACTGATGGGCCAGCAGAAGATTTGCTGCAGGGCACTTGGGTGCGCTGGGGGAAGGTGGCAAGGTCACAGCTCCCTGTGAGGTGGGCAGATGCTGGGGTGAAGGGGCTGAGACCCAGTTCCTGAGTTTGGGGCTGGGGAGGGAGGGAGCCAGCCCCCCCCC